AGGGGTTTATCATCAGTCTGTAGGAGGATGTTGTGGTGATGTGGTGGGTGCTAGTGCCCATGAAACTCTTTGCTCTACTCGATGACCATGCAGCGCGGCAGATGCTGGGAGTAGTATTTGAAGAGTTCGGCTGTGGCGCCAGGGCAGTTGGTCAGTTCCAGCTCCTCTAGGTCCTGCAGTTGGATCAGGCCTGACAGGCCAGTAGTGGTCAGCAGAGGGCACCCTGAGACAGAGGAAATGAGAGCTGGTCAAATACAAAAGCTAACAGCCACCTCCACTCAACTGTTCACTTCCTGTTTATAATGCTGTGTGACAACAACACCACTTTTTACATCACAGATGATGATTCCCAAACAGAAAGATTTCAGTTTTGCTTTGTTAAACCTATATAAATGAAACTATGAAACATATATTGCTGTCAAAAGATGATAAAGATAAATGTATAGAAATATTTTTTTCAACTAATAGCTTAAAGCATTTATTTACTTCTTAAGGAAATAAAACAAAATCAATCCCATGAAATTGTGTGGATGCCATGTATAGTGTAGTAAGTGTACTATGTATCAAGCTAAATGAAGTTCAACTAACAGATATGTTTCAGTTTGAGAGGAAGTGTTTTCAACCACAGAAATTAAAAGTTTGTTGTTTAAAAATGAAGTTTATCATGTTATATGACAGTGACTATAATGTTAGTTAAAAATAAATTGCTTGGTCTGGATGAAGGGGTACTTGAGCCCTTTGAATGAAGCTATGTGGGAAAAAAATCAGGAAACACTGGAATAGAACATCCTTATGCACAGCTACTGATAGAACAGGCAGATATTTCTGATCTGCAAATGTAATTTTTGAGGGATTAACTGAGCTTTCTTCCATAACATGATTAAGCTCAGGTATTCATAGAAACAATCTATTTCCAAACATACAGTGTTATTTCATTATAGTACTTTATCAGGACTTTATCAGTGCATCCTGCAGTATCAGCACTTTTTACCTGCTAGAGAGAGAAGACGAAGACTCCTCATTCCATATAGATGCTGTAACCCAAAGTCTTGCACCTAAAAGCACACAGGGGGAGCTGACATGAAATTTCAAGCAGATTTGGTGATGTGACATGCTATAAATTATCTAATATATATATATTTTAACCTAATTGTGATTAATAAAATAGTTAACTGATAACTTATATATCAAATACCCATAACTTTATTATCATAATAAGACTATCCCATTAAGCTGACTGAGACAGTTGCACAGACACTTACCTGACAGCACCAGCGCAGGTAGAGACTTCTCAGAGTTGACATGGTAGATAAGTAACCCAGGCCTGTATCTGTGATCCGCACACACCTGAATACAGACATATAAAAAACTGTCATTTTACTTCCGGACTTTGCCATCTATAGGCACACAATATGATTGTGATAATCATTCTTTCCATAATGTATCAAAATATCATGGTATTATAACCATCAGATAGCATCACTGTATCATAGCACTCAATGGACATTTTTTTTTCTTCTTTTTTTTAATTGAAAACAAGAAACAGATCGATTATCATAGGAGTTACAACATCAAATCACAATACATTTTTGATGCACAGTATCACTCATTATCTGCAATGGCATACTCTATCCATTTTTCCCAATACTTATTACATTTTTCTAAATTAAGTCTTAAAGTAAGTGTGAGTCTCTCCATACAGTATATCTCATTTACAATTCTTATCCATTGGGCCCTTGCTGGAGGATCAACCTGCAACCATTTACAAGTTATGGCTTTCCTGCTACTTGCTAAAAGTATTTGTGTTAAGTATCTATCATTGACTGGGATAGTTTTTGGTATTTTCCCTAGGTATAATGTAATGAATGAATAGTCAAACTCTTCTCCAATTATCTTTTTAATTTCAGCTGCTATTTCGTACCAGTAAGCTTGTATTTTTGGACAGGCCCAAAACATGCGAAAGTGATTAGCCATTGAGGTTCCACATTGTCTCCAACAAGAGCCCAGACTTTCTGTACCTGTACGTAACGCTGACAGTTTAGGAGTTATGAAGAACCTTATAAATTTTTTTCCATCCAAACTCTCTCCAAGATCTTGAGTTTGTAGTTTTTGCATGTATAACACATATATCTGTCCTGTCTTCCTCTGTTATTTGTAAGTCTGACTCTTTTTCCCATTTTTGTTTTAAATGGACATTGTTATAGAACAAGGATTTTAAATATTATTTAACTGTTCTGTCGTGGTTCCTTAAAACCGTAAGTGGGCATTTTATATCAATAAACACTTTTAACCATAATGTTACAATGAAAACACTTGTCAGAATGGCTCACTATCTCTTTTCTTATCGAACAGGCAAAAAACTGCAGAAACACATCAGTTTGTGTTGGTCTAGCTTATTCTTATATTTGTGTAAAAAAAAAATTCTAATAACTATGGCAAATAGTGATAGGATAGCATTCTAAAATGACCCACACCCATACAGCATGATTGCGAATGTTGTTATACAACAGTTCAATAAACAAGACGTTTATATTGAGTAACTTACATTTTAGACACAATATTGGCAGCTACTTTATCTATTTTTGCTGTTTAGTTGCAAAGGCAGCAACATAGTTTGATTCCTGAAAGGATTGTTTTGTTCCTAAATGAATCAGCGTGTTTGAACACCAATTTGCAGCATATATATATATATATATATATATATATATATATATATTACTTTCAAAACCCAAATATCAGCTAGTGAACTGATATATTGGTTTATTACATTATTACATTTGATCACAGCATTTAGTCCCAATGAGGCTCTGTAAGAGGAAGTATCAGCAAGATTTACTTTACACTCCGTACTGTAAACTCAGCATACTCACCGGTCCAGAACCAGCTCCTCCAGCTTGTGTAGGTCACAGGCGATATACTCCAGGGCCATGTCAGTGATGCGGGGGCACCAGGACAGATCCAGACTCCGGAGCTTCCTCAGATTCTCGGCAACCAATTCCACGCCATCGTCTGTGATCTTCGAGCAGCCTGACAGGCTGAGGGAGGTGAGGTTTGGCAGGCTGTGCACCATGTTAACTACGCCATGGTTGGTGATCTCCCAGCAGGAGTTCAGACGCAGCGTGTGGGTGGTGTAGCCTTGCTTGGCGGTGAAGTAGGCCATGGCCGTGTCGGTCACGTGATAGGCCTGCAGGCTGAGCTCCGATAGGTTGGGAAGGAGCTGAGAAATGGCGGCGATGGCGTCATCTGCCACGTTGATGCAGTCGCTGACACTGAGAGAGGTAAGCCGTGCATTCAGGCTGGACCACAGGCCGGCTTCTGTGAAATCATTGCAGCCGGAGAGTTCAAGATGCATCAGACCTTGCATCTGTTCCAGCATCACCTGAAGAGTTCGGGACGGAAAAGCAATGTTACACTGCAAATGTGCTTCTAGTGCAGTGCAAGTTGTTCAAAGCTTAAAGGGTTAGTTCACCCAACAATGAAAATTAGCCTATAAATTACTCACCCTCAAGTCATCCTAGGTGTATATGACTTTCTTCTTCCAGACGAATCCAGTCTGAGTTATATTAAAAATGGTCTTTGATCTTTCAAGCTGTTTCATGGCACTCAGCGGGTGTTACATGCATCAGTCCAAAAGCACTTAATTAAAATGCGCCCATCCATAAAAAAAAGTGTCTCACAATGGCTCCGGGGGGTGAACAAAGGCCTTCTGTGGCGAATCAATGTGTTTCTTGTAAGAAAAATATCCATATTCAAAACGTAATAATCACTTTAATGTAGCTTGCGCTCACTGTTGTACACTGGAAGCAGTTCCGGGCGGATGAGGTATGAGATCAGTGCTGCGCATGCGCCGCTCAGAAGTGATGCACTGGGAAACGCAGGGGAGAGATCAAAACAACGGTCACTATTACGTTTTGAATATGGATATTTTTCTTACAAAAAAGCATCGATTCTTTGTTCACCCCGTTTTTTTTTATGGATGGGCGCATTTTAATTAAGTGCTTTTGGACTGAAGCATGCAACACCCGCTGAGTGCCATGAAACAGCTTGAAAGATCAAAGACAATTTTTAATATAACTCTGACTGGACTCGTCTGAAAGAAGAAAGTCATATACACCTAGGATGACTTGAGGGTGAGTAATTTATGGGCTTAATCACAACTTAATCACTGAAAATATTAAACCATGGTTAAGCGTAAAGGGGAAAGCATATAGAAATCATAAATCCGTTGGCTTGCTTTTTTTATCTTCTACTTCTACTAGCTACTTATATACATAAGAGATGACATATTTATTTTTGTGATTTTAGTGAAAATTTTAGCTTAATGCACAGTACAGAGCAGAACGGAAATGTTCTTCTGTGTCAGTATTCTTTCTTTAGGGTTTTTCACACTTGAAATAATTAAACCTGGGTCATTGTAAATCCCGGGTAAAGGAATTCTGGGGTTTCTTGTTTCACATTTCACAATTAGCCGGGGTTAACAATTAATCCTAGGTATTCATAAACTGACGTTTCACACTGTACAGTCCTAAACCCCAGGTTAACGTTCTTATTTGCATATTTGCGGTGTCAGTGTCAATGATTGGACGAACACAGCATGCGACCTGTTTACGTAATGGCTGTAGCACTGTACATCCTTGCATCAGGCCTATATGTATCAAGTTTTTCCTGAATGCATTTTCGTTGGACTATAAATGTAAGAATAAAACCTTTCATCATTATTTGACATTTTCCCTCAAACGCTGAAACGACTGTTAATACAGCGCATGCTGTTTCCGTAACTGTCCAAAGCACGTAAATATGAGCCACGCAATTGGCTGTCTGTTGCTTAAGCATCTAGTCGTAACATTCTAACACCTCTCCATTTCACACTGTACAAGGATGGCATTGCAATGCGGGGTTAGCAAAACAAAAGCGGTGCTGACCCTGCTCCAGAGCTGGGTTTCATAACCCCGGTTAAAAAGCAGTGCTAAGCCCGTTTCTAATTTACATGTGTGAAACGTTCCTTTAGCTGGGGTTAAAAGCAGAGAACGACGATAACCCGGGGTTAAGCGCAGTGTGAAAAGCCCTTTTAACCAAAGTTCAGTCAAACCAAAGTTCAGAATCGATTCTGAGTTTAATTTTGAAACAGCTGCGCATTGTAGCAGATGTATGGCATCTGCTTGTTGTCAGTTGCAGACAAAACAGCAAGTATACAAACTTTTGCAAAGTTCGGAATAGACATGGAAAATTATTCGGCGAATAATTTTTGAAATTATTCAACGCCGTTGTGAACGACCACGATTTTATCTCGATGTTGCAGACGCTAACAGTGTTCGGTCTCAACTAGGGATGCTCCGATCCGCCTTTTTCACCTCCGATACCGATACCTAGGGTTCAGTATTGGTCGATACCAATATAAATATATCTTAAATTGTGTTCTGAAGACGAACTAAGCTTTTACGGGTTTGGAACGACATGGGGGTAAGTGATTAATGACAAAATTTTCATTTTGGGGTGGAGTAACCCTTTAAGCTATCGTATGGCTTCAGAAGTAACACAAAATAATAAGCACAATCTCGGATATGGATCGGCCCTCTCTGACCGATACCCAATCCAACAAAAAATGGCAGTATCGGAGCCGATACCCGATATGAATATCGGATCGGCGCATCCCTAGTCTCAACTATTTTTACACTCCAATACCCACTCTACAACGACAACAAAACTCAAGACTTGGAATTATTGAGAAAAGTGGAAAGGATGAAAATAACCTGGTGGACACATACTATTACTGTACAATATCACAGGTGAGTAACATACAGCGCACGTGTTGTTTACTGTTAGTTGCAGGGTTTGAAATTAACACCCGCCAACCCGCCAAATGCGGGTAAAAATCAGCTGTGGCGGGTAACGCTGTCAAATCACTAGCCAATCTGGCGGGTTACTTTTCGTAAATTATGTTCACTCATTAATTTCCTGGGGAAGTTCATGCAGGCCAAATCTGCGCAGGTTTAGCGCAAATACTGAACTCGTGAGACATCATGACATTATCGAGTATATTGCAAAAGCTAAACAAAACACACCTACAGAGGCGTGCATATGCGACGTGATGAGGTCTGGTTAGACCAACACACACAGGCTTTAGTGCGCGTGCGCATT